GAACGTGTTGGATCAAGGATTTATTCTTGGCCCGAATGAGAGCGGGCTGCCCACTAAACCTGTGCCTCCCACACTGAAACCGAGTCCTCCATTACCTGTAAGTGCTGTTAAATCAGACAACCACATGTTTACAAAACACAGTTTATTATCATTTTTAATAACATAGACTATAACAACAGCTAGTATGTTTAGTTTTTCTGTTTTGTCTCGGTTCATAACTGTTAAGTGTTTTACTATGCAAAACCATTTTTGCACTGATGACAGACGGTGGTTATGTGTTGTTAAAGGGATAGATCATCCAAAAATGGAGATTTTCTGAAAATGTGCTCACCCTCAGGCCATCCCAGATTTGGATGAGTTTGTGTCTTCATCAGACACTGCAGAGCATCCTTTGCTGAGACACTGATGCAATGCTACATTTCTACAAACCTGATGAAGAAACAAACTCATCTACATATGTGATGGCCGGAGGGTGAGCACATTTTCATCAAAGTTTTTCTTTTTTTCATTCTTTTTTGGGTGAACTATTCCTTTAAATAAAAAGTGTTTATTTCACTAGACAAAAATGGACATTACCACATGGTTATTTAGCATTTAAAGCATTTTACTGTTGAGTTTTCATCAACAATAATTAAATCCTGATACATACTGTAACCATGATTTAATAAGTATATATATATATAATCTCCTTTTCTTCCTCTGATAGATGTCTCCAGCCTGGGAAACTGTTGTCTGTGGACGGACAAAAGACCAGCTGATCATGACAGAGAAAGCAAAGCGGTACCTTCGCTCTTTAAAATCTCATGCCCCAAACCGAGCGCTCATACTTTCCTGATCCCACGCCGAGTCCCAATGCAGCTTCTGGATATATATTTTTTTTTTACAAAGCATAATGTGTAAACTTTGTGTTGATTTAAAAAAACAAAAACATTTAAATGTCATGTAGAATATGAAACCAATTGCTTGTTCCAGAACAGACACTTTAATGCTGATAATGCTTTTGTCCTGTTTTCTGTGGCATGTTAGCATATTCAGAACACCAGTTTACTTAATTTAACCCTGTATAATAAGTGTTGCTATTTTGTTTTATTTATGTGTTGTCAACCTGTTTTTGATGTGGCTGCAAATATAAAATGTCGAGCATACCAAGCCGAGTAAATAATCAGGTTACTGTTCAGGGATCTCCGTATCGTTTTGTATTCTGTTCACATATTCTGCATTTCTGTAAGGATAACTAGACATCTGCTAGACTCCGCTCTTGTGATGTACTGGCTGAATATACAGTCTGTATTAAATAGGTTGAAATTTTTCTTGGCTTTAGGAGGATCAACATATTACACATTTTGAAGTTGTGTAAAGTAACCTTTAGGACCTCAGGCTAAGGCCTTAATTCAGTGTGCATAGAAACATGAAAGCATGTTTTTTTTTTGTCTGAAAAACAAAATATGTAGGCTATTGTATGCTACAAAAGAAAAATAAAATGGCTGTTGAACGTCTTGATGGTAACACTTGAGACCATATATCTCTGTAACTAGCATATTGAAAAATAATTGTCTCCAAATATCAGGAAAATTGAACTAGTTAATTACTTTGTCATTTAATTACACAAATGGAATAAGCTGTATGTTACTCATTTAAAGATGATTTTAGATGGATGTAAGGTGCAGTTTTATCTGGTTGTGTACCGAATCTATGACATGCAGTGACAGTATTGCGCTAAATCAAATGTATATAACTGAGCTTGTAACACATTGCAGTAGTTACAGCATTTAAGCAGAGGTAAAGTGTTTGTTGTTTTATGTGAGGTTACGTTAGATGAGTTTTTCCCCAAGGAACATAAATGGACTGACCAAAAGGTCAAATCTATTAAAAAATATATATAAATAAAATACAGGTTTGGAGTCAAATCACTTATAAACAATTTTTTTGTGTCATATCCAATCAAAATAAGTTTGTCAATATATGCAACAAGTGTTTAAATTGTGTGAGCTCTTTAATTAAACCACATAGAAAGAATACGGAATGCAAATCAAACACATACTCAAAATGAGCTTTAAGTCCATGTTTGTAACATTCTGAGATCATCTGCACTGCTACACTTTAAAACATATTTAAAAAGTGGAAAATATTCAGTTACTTGGTTAATTGGTGTTCACAGCCCTCTTCAACCAAACCACTACATCCGGATAAGACCTCGATGCAAACGCCTAAAACTGAGTCCAACAATCATGATTGCATTGTGCTCTTACTGTAAAGCCATGAAATAGATTTTCAGATGGTGAATCTCATCTTTATACATTTTATGCTGCACATTTAAAATGTATAATGACAGTAGGTGATACCAAGAACTGCTGCCTCGCTATAAATAAGCATTTGAGTAAAAGGATCCAGTTTATTAAATAATGGAAAATCGGTTCTGCTCAACAAAACAAGCTCACTGACAGCAATGTTCCTATGATCCAGCAGTTCCACCTGTAGTTCATGTTTCACTGAAAGACTAATTAAAATGAGTCGGTTCGACAGAGTGGGAGAGATGGCAGTGACTGCTGAACAGCTTCAGCTCTGGATCTGCTGTGAGGTCTAAATTAGCACCATTCAGTTATTGCTGTGCGTTACATTATATGATAACAGTAATAGAACTGTCCGAAGGTCAGATTCAGTTCCTCTGTCTTCAGGGGTGCAGTGAGCACAAATAGGTTTGTTTTCAGTGTGCAAGGTCATTCATCTCTCAAACCACCTCTCATACATTTGAGTGTCTTTGTCATGCTACAGTACTGTAGAGGGAACTGGAAAGTCACATTTGATCACTATTATCTCTCAGTAAGATTTATTCAAGGTTTCTCAGGGAGACAGTCCCTGTCATTACTGCACTTTAGATAAGAAGTTTATTTGAGCAGTTGATAAACACGCATGAATCAGGGATGATCAGTCCGGCCTAAAATCATGACCCACGTGATTCATGCAAATCAGTAATAAAATAAAAAATAAATGAATTGGGAACACACTGCAAATCGTAGTAATGATGCAGAAAATTCTGCTTTGCATCACAGACATGAATTACATTTTTATAATATATTAAAATAGAAAGCTTTTTTTTTTTTTAAATTGTAGTATTTCACAATATTGCTGTTTTGCTTTATTTTGATCAAATAAATGCAATCTTGATGAGCAGAAGAGATTTCAAAATCATTAATAATTGCAATGTTTCCAAACTTTTGGCAGGTACTTTAATAATAACAATTCTATTAATACGTTTATTATATTATATATGATTAATTATCATTAAATTCTGCTTTTTATTTTTACAGGACAATAGTATGTAGTATTACTATATAAGATATATATATATATATTTTAATGTGCTAAAATATACATATTTTTTAAATAATAAGTGCTGTGGCCGTGGTCAGATTTTCCTGCTTTTTTGTCTCTAGCTGGATCACATGCCTGATGAATAACATTCATAACATAAGAGTGAACACACTCTTTTTTCACATAATAAAAAACACACTAAAAATTATATTTAAAAAAAAATCCATAAATGATTGCATATCTCTTTTCAGTCACAGGTGACTTTAAATAAGTGAATACAAATACATCTGCTTATAACCTGATGCGGGGTTGCCAAATTTCATGCATTTGCCATAAAACAAATGATTTCAGCCAGCACACACTACCCAACTAAACTCACGCCAAATAACAAGAAAATGCTAAATAAATTGACTTATTTAGATTAAAATACGCATTTTCATGCATTATAAATTTCATAACTGTAAAGGGATCTTAATAAATATTTCTTTACAATATAGGCCCTAAATAATCCAATTGAAGAAATACATACATAAGATACTTTATATGATGAAGAGATTTAATTTAGGCTTTCATTTCCATCTTAACAATGATCAACACATACATGAAGCATATCAAATATGGTAAACGCAGAAGCTCAAAGGTGTGGGAGATGCACAAGAACCAATGAGGTTTTGTTCACAAGCTTCAGATGTGATGCTCTCCGTGGATGTGGACGTAAAACATCACAATAATCCACAAGTAATCAATCAACACGACTCCAGTTCATCAATTAACATCTTGTGAAGTGAAAAGGTGTGTGTTTGTAAGAAATAAATTCATGGTTGAGGTATTTTAAGTTCTTGCTTCTGGCTAGTCCATAATCCAAAACGCTCCCTCAAACCAGTAGGCTACAAATCTTTCATAGTGCTCATGATATGTGCCTGAAGCTACAGATGACTGTCTTTAATCAGCCTGGTCATGGTTTGTATTTATATTATTATATTTATTAGTATATTTATATTTATAGGCTATTACATGGTGGTTTTGGGGTCTTTGAGACATCCATGAGCACACTGACATCCCTGTACAAATATATTACACACAGATTAATAACCGTCCTCTTTTTAATACAAAAACTGGATTGTTTTTTTCAAACGTGTTGTTTGCTGCCTCATGAGTTTCGTTTTCGTTTGTTTCAAAAAGCAGTTGAGCTGAAGGTTGACCGCTTATTTCATTCAGCTCACAGTTCTCGGTAAGTACAAGATTAAGAGCCAGTTTTGTACTTCTTGTTTGTCGGTAATATTGTCGACAGTATTATGGAGCTAATATTCTCGAAATGCGCTGTAAATGTAATAACGATATTCCTTCACGGTGACCGTCAACAATCGATGTATGCATGCAGTCTAAAGAATAATAATAATAATAATACATGCATAATGTGTGAAGACAGAAATCAAGACGCACCCAATTTAAATTAACGTTAAATGCTCGATAGGCTTTTTTTTTTGATTCACAGAACTACACCCTTCACAAAATGAAAATGAAACTAAATGTGTTTCACTGTTATTAATATTGTCAAAGCGACCTGACAACAAATGCGGGGTGCAATTCAACATCGACATTATCTTATTAGCAATAGTAGCAAGTTATTCTTAGGCCTTTCTCTTTTTTTGTGAAATAAACAAGACTCGTTCCTACTATTTACTTAAAGCTAAAGTTTTCTTTCAGTTGCCGTTCGGAGGAACAGACCGTCAAAACAATGGACATTGACGAATATGTGAGTATGAATCTCTCTCTCTCTCTCTCACACACACACACACACACACACACACACACACACACACACACACACACACAAAATACATTGATCAGCTACTCACAATCTCTTGTATATCAATAGGGTAAATAATTTATCAGTTAAATAATTTTCTTAATTTTTTTTCCTTTATTTGAGCATGGATTCAAAACCACACACACACACACGCACACACTCTATGTCTTTCTTAATCAACTAACCCTTCAAGTCTTCTCACATTTTATAAAATGTCAATGCTCTGTTTTTATGACTTAAGGCAAATCCTGCACTGTAAAGAAGCCCTTTGACTGGATAAGCGCTCAAGATAAATATAATAAACTAGGTCATTTTCCTGAAGTCACATGCTACCATGATCATAAGACGTCAGTTCAATAATATACAAAGGCAGTGGGAGAGGCAGAACAATTAATGAAATATAGCTGCAAACAGCGATGACGGGCCCAAGCCCCGGTGGCACGGCCACCCCTGTGGTTTGAAGAAAACGGTGCACAGCAGGCACATGCATTCAGTCATCTGGCAGTCTGGTTGTTGGAATTACAGCAATGAAAGGGTTACTCTGGAATCAAGAGTGTGAAACAGATACACACAAAGATCTATCTAACTAATGGAAACTGAGAGAAAAGGGATTAGACTTAAAATATTTATTATCCTATGACAACCTTAGTATTACAGCCTTCATCTGTCAGCTGAAATGTCTGATGTCTGCTGTTAGGCCCCAGAGCATCAGAAATTCATGAAACTAAGCATGTTTCCTCAAAATGAATTGTTCTCCATATGTAAAAGGTTTTGAGGAGTTGGGACAATGCACTTTAAAGATATAAGACACTTAAGGCCCGTTCACACCAAGCACGATAACTATAAAGATAAAGATAACGATAAAGATATAGTTCTAAAAATCGTTCTCAATATTAAAGAATGGCAGAGTCCACACTACAACTATAACGATAAAGGCACAGAGAAACGATATCGTTGGAATCACTTCCAGAACGATTTTTTCCAGCTGATGAACGATACAAACATTGACAGCCAATCAGAATCTATCCTGCTATAATGAGCTCGAGAATTTAAAGCGGCAGACGCGTGCTGCCAAGTCCGCGGTTTTCCCGCAATTGGACTACTTTAACACTGTTATAGTTATCGTTCTTGGTGTGAACGGGGCTTTACTGTTTCCATTTTTGTTCCGTTTACTTTAATAAATCGCCATGGCAAAACCATTCAGGATATCAAAAAAACCATTCACAATTTAGCATCTTCAGTATCTTGGCATCATGTTAACAAATTTGGTTTGAATTGCATGATTCTCCTAGGAAGAGTATGCAATAAGGCACATCCTGAATAAAAAAAAAAATCCACATTCAAACCAAAATAGCCAACTTGCTGTTGGTCGGAGCTAATGACTAAATTTGAAAGTTGTCTGGCTTGATGAGAGCAATATATGTACCGAGTTTGGTGACTGTAGCTAAAACTAACCCCCTTACTTTTGTCAAAAGGTGGCACTATAGAGCACCTGCTCCATGCCCATTTATGAGCTTTTGCCAGTTTCTAACTATCATTAATCCTGATGTGTGTATCGAGTTTCAAGAAAATCTAAGAATGTTAAGTACCTCATAAACACCTGAGAATAATATTAAAGTTTGACGCATTGCCATAGCAACAGTATTTTAGATTTCAAGAATCCCTTCACAGCTTTACATCTGCCATGTTTTGATAATTCTGATGAAGTTTGAAGCAAATCGGGTAAAAATAAGAGTTGTTTGGGCTGATGAGCTCTATATGTGTATGAATTTTGGTGACTGTATAGGTGAAACGGTGTGTGCTACAGAGCTCCTCGAAAATGGCCATTTAGAAAGTATGTGGTATGGGGCCTCTCCGTGATCCCCCCATGAGAATCTCTGTCTGCCCTGATGAATGCAGATTTCAATGTGTGTGCCAAATTTCAAGAGTTTTTGAGCAGGTTAAGGGCCCCAAAAGCCCGAAACGATTGAATAATAATAATAATAATAATCCTTATAAAAACAATAGTACTAATAATACTAATAATACTAGCTACGTTTACGTGGACAACTTTTGTTTCAATCGGAATTAAATCATTCTGATTGATGAATCTGAATGTAGTGTTTACATGAAAGCTAAGCTACAGACACAAATGATTATTATGGTAGATCATTTAATAAAAATATTATTATAATATAAAATACAGATAAAATTGTGATTATGAACTACTTGATTGTGTAAGTGAAATTGACATAACTTCATAAGCATGTAAAACCCTTGTGTTGTATACTTTCCATAAAATAAAATTAAATAAAAAGGCCATGATTAAGGTGTTTACATGAAGACTTTTCAGTCCAATTGAGCCATCAATTCAATTACTAACAGAGTATTTGGTTGCAGGTAAACACATTCACCATTTATTAGTAAACTCTTTAAAATGCATCATGTCTTTTTCCTTGAGCAAGTCTTTTTGTCGCTTTTTTAGCTCTCATTAAATAGTAACAGTATTGAGAATAGTGGTTGGTTTGTGGCAATCAATGAAAACAAATTACTATGGCTATTGCTGTCTTAAAATTAAAATATAACATTGTCATTTTAGCTTCTTTTTTTTTCAGTTGCTTGGATTGTTTGCTTTATTTGATGTGCAAAACATGCAACAGCGTTTAGGCATGCATTTTGCCCCCATAAGAACAAATGGGTAAATGTGGTAACTGAGATTAGTTTTTCCTCGCTCTAAACCTCCTCCACAGTATATAGTTGACTGTGTTTATTGTTTGTGTGACATGTGTTAAACAATAGAAAATTGCAATAGGCTGCAGTCTGTTGTATTTACAGTACATCCTACAGTACGTTAAAAGTATGAAGGTCTACTGGGACGAGATTTACTTGAGTTGAAATATATAAATAGAGTCATATTTTTTAAAATGACTGAAATAATTTTGTATTGTTTTTTTTTAATGTTAGGACTTGTATACAGCAGGCACTGAGGGTCAAGATGCTGGACCATCTCTGGATGACATCTATCAGTCATACTTCCTGCCAGAGGAGGTAATGACTAAAGAATAGAGCAATGGATTTTCTGAGCACCATTATCTTTCCAGAATATCAGCAATATCAAATGCATGAATTAATACATTCCAAAGCATATTGTGCAAATGAAAATTGATTGTTTCGTTACAATACATATATTTGTGATAATTATCAAACAACAATTTTACTGGTAAATTGAAAAATTATTTTTTCACATTTTTGTTCCCAGACTTTATATCTGTTGTCTGGTGTTTATCTGGTATAATCATACCATTCACACCAGTTTAGAATTCAAACTCACCAGATTATTCCCTCCCTCAGTATTTTAAAGGGGTCATATGATGCTATTTTAAAGATCATTATTTTGTGTATTTGGTGTAACAGAATATGTTGACATGCTTTAATGTTCAAAAAACACATTATTTTTCAAATACTGTACATTATTGTAGGTCCTCTACGCCCCGCCTCTCTCAAACACGTCGTTTTCAACAAAGCCCCCTCCTTTGACAAGCGCAGTCTGCTCTGATTGGCCAGCTGAACCAGTGCATTGTGATTGGCCGAACACCACAAGCACCTGTCGGCTATAGAATACCCTAATATCTTGCAGGGACTTTGTCCCGTCTTACTACCTCCACACAAGTGGAGCAGAAATTTATCAAAACGATTTAAAAAAATAAAAAATAGCCATTTACAGGGTTGGTACAGTCATGAAAAACCCAGAAAGCTTTGGAAAAGTTGTGGAAATTTATTTTACAAATCTCTATATAATAGAATATATGTTTAATCACGTCCTGAATCTCGGTGCGGGATTGCGCATTTTGGTTTTACTCATTTTCGCAGGTTTCGCACGTTTGGAAAATTCCAATTTCAATTTATTTAATATACAATGTATGTTAGATGAGTTAAAAAAAATTCACACAGAATATCAGATTAAGTCAATCATTTGACAACAGCGTGAGAGGTTCAGCTGTATCGCGTCTTCTCGCTCTCACTCTCTCAAAAGTAGCTGCTGTCACTTTCATACCAAATGTTAATGTTAACAATGTTAATTAATTAGGCCTATTGGTTATGGTTAATTTATGTTAACAACAAAAGACAAAATCACTCACTGCTCTTGACTGAATAACTTTTGTAACTTTAATTTTAAGAATTAATCTGTTGTTTAATTTATAGTGAATTTACTGTTTTTAATTTACAGTTTATTCCATTTCTGTACCTGAATGTTTTCCACCAAAACTGTTTCTAAAACGAAATTCAAGTCCTGAGTTTAATTTATAATACTGGCTAAGCAAATTACAATATACTTAACATTCTGGCATTCAGTTATGTGATTATGTAGCCTAACTTATGTTCTCTGCATGAAGTAACGTCTGGCACAGTCGCAGCCTGTGCTTATTAAAAAGCAAACATGACGAAGCAGATATCGTCCTCTTTTGGAAGACCAAACAAAGTAGTTTCGCTTTCACAACGAAGCACACAGCGTCTTCACGACATGGCTGCAGCGTCAACAATACTACAGTGAGAATTAAAGTTACGCCTTCTTTCTTTGCGTTAACATTTGGGCGGCGTTATGCAAATTTTTCCACATAGTGATGTAGATATGTGGGGGCGTGTTAGAATGAGGCGTTTTAGGGGGGCGTGGCTGACTCTTAACTTTGATAAAGAATATCTCTTTGGATTTGAGACTTTAGTCTTTGCAACTTTACAGATCTTCTTTATGCACCAAGAGCTTGTAACACTCCAAAGAGAAAGGAAAACTTGAAATCGCATCATATGACCCATTTAAGAACAGAGGATGGACTACTGTGTCTGATTTTCTTTATTACTGCAGCCATTTGTGAATTTGCAAATACAAATTACAATTAATAGATAAAATGCTCTAATAATACAAGCAATATCAACAATGGAAATTCAGAGTCTGCATTTATAACTGTTTTTCCTCTAACAGGACATTTATACAGCTGGTGATGAAATGCCACAACCCTCAGCACCACTGGATATCGCTAAATTTAAAATCAAAGTGGACTGGACAGAACCATTTCCAGAGAGATGGAGAGCTAGATTACAGAAAGCCCTTCAGAGCTGGTTGTCCAGACTGGAAGGAACAGCATCAGTCCACAGCGTTAAACTCATGGATGATCCATCCTGTGCAGAGGTGCAGATAACACCATCAACAGGTGAGATAATATCATATACAATACATTTTTCAATTTAAATCTCATGGATGCTAGTATCTGAAATAGCTCAAATACATACAATATTAATACAGAAGGGCAAATACCAGTGTTGGGGGTGTTAACATGTTACTGGTAACAAACATTACAATTACAGATAACTTATATCTATAGTAATGAGTAAAGTAATGAGTAAAGTAGTAAAGTGGAGTGTTACGTTTTGATCCAGTATGTTTTATTTTACTTTATTTGAGTATCAAATGTGAAGAGGTGTTTAAAAGGTCAATATTTCCATCTGTCATGCAAAGAAACAATGGTTTGATTTATGGGCCATGGCTCAATTACAAACAAAGGAAATTGAGCTTGTTTTAATGGCAGTAAACTGAGACTGCTTTAAAGGGGTCATATGATGTTGCTAAAAAGAACATTATTTTGTGTATTTGGTGTAATGAAATGTGTTTATGCGGTTTAAGGTTCAAAAACACATTATTTTCCACATACTGTACATTATTGTTTCTCCTCTATGCCCCGCCTTTCTGAAACGCGTCAATTTTTACAAAGCTCATTGTTCTGAAAAGCGAGGTGTGCTCTGATTGGCCAACTATCCAGTGTGTTATGATTGGCCGAATTCCTCAAGCGTGTGACGAAAATGTTACGCCCCTTACCATATTGTGATGCCCAGTCCGGCCGGAGCGACGAGACAAAAACATTAAAAACCCATTATAAAGGAGGCATTTGTTGCATCCAGTGGGGACATAATTACAGATTATAATGACTTATACTGTCTTTTTACGCACTGCGTTGCATCGCGCCGCGTAAACATAAAACCATGTCAGCATTTGTGATCGGAGAAAT